AATGTAGATGATTTTGCAAAGAGAAATGTTTTCCAGGAGGACTTTCTATAGGAAACTGACCCCTATTTAGGTGTTAGGCACGTGAAGAAAACCCGAAACTACACGTGACCAGCCTAAGAACCTATAACAACTACTACTGTTTAGGGGGTTTATCCTCTCAGTCTCTGGACTAAATGAATTGGAATACTGTAGGAAAAAAAAAGACTGAAATTCGCCTTTAGTAATTAATTATTTAATAATTTATTACAAAAACAAACTATTATAAACTTTGTAAAAGATTAAAACTGTATAACCTAATATTAAATGCGGGGGTGTTAAATTTTTCGAATTTAATTGATTTTAGCAGGCCTATCCTTCGAAGTTTAAAGAAATTCTCACGTTATAAATAATAGAAAGTCAATTAGCTATTTTTCAATTCGAAACGATAAACATAGAACAGAGAGTACACGTAATTTAAGGTTAAATAAAGCAATTAAATGCGTTAATAATAAATTAAAGTTAAAAGCAATAAATAAAATAATTGAATAAGGTATAATAAAATGAAAATTGCCTGAATAGGCAATCCTTATATTGTGTTTAACGGAAATGTTTTCCGTAATATTAATAGCTGTCGTTACTTATCATAAACGTGTGATTTAATTATTACATTTAAGTATTAAAGACACAATCTCACATTATTCTTTATTTAAAAAAAAAGTTTGATGTTTAATGTTATTTTATTGTTATAAATCGACGAATAACACACAATTTAACAGATAGAAAAACAAACACACGTAAAGAAAAGCGATAAAAAAATAAAATACATACAAACGTAACGCGCAAACGAGAAACGACTTTTCTTTCCTTTTTATCGTGTGCGGTTCGAAGTTCAAATGCAAATAATATTCGAGATTTTTATCTGCATGTAAGAATTTTAGTTCAGGTGTGAGAACGAATTTTGAAGCTTAATAACCGCCTGTGCTTTTTGTCGAAAATTTCTAAAATTTTACGCATAGGTCTACGTGAAAGGAGGTCGACACAATTAAAGTTAGATAATTCAAGATCGAGAAGGTGGAAAGATGAAGGTGCTCGTAAGATANTTATTATACAATTGTAAATATAAATTTAACATTTAATTATTAATAAATTATAATTATTTTTCTATTTAAATTAATCTTATTAATCTTTATATTTATAGTAAATCCTTAATAATAACGGGAAATCCTTCATATACATATTACACGTATCCATATAATAATAAATATATGAATATGTTAATCGAGTAAGATTCCTGTTTTCTCTACATTCTCGATTTTAAACACTGAATTGAAATAGATTATGTATTAATTACTGTAAAAAATTAATTGAATGTATAATTCGAAGGTGCTTTGTATGAGAAATTACCTCTAGAAATATTTATCCTAATTATATATCATTAGTTTTCATACTTGCTTATCGAATAATCTATAATCTTGCGTATGAATCTGAGGTGCAGCGAGTACAGCGAAGGAGGAGCAGAGAGAAGCTTACGTATGCAGACACTAGATGAGAAAGAATGCTACGAAATTTTCTAACAGATAGTAAATAATTAAAAAGAATAGTCAAAGAAAACTAAATGGTGTATGCTGATATTTAGGGGAGACCGGGCAACTTCGGCATGCGGGGCAAGTTTGTCAAGCGCTTTTTTTTAAAAACAAATTAAAAGGAGACTTTGGTTATAGGTTAGGCAGTTGAGTTTTATTCGTGGCTTGTTGAGTGTAGTGTTTTTATTGTTCTCCAACAAGCGTAGTTGAATTATCAAGCAAATTTTCATTTTCGTTCAATTCCATATAATATTTTGCTTCCATTTATATTGAATTGGCAGGTTTTGTTATAATTCCATGATAACGAAAGTTACTTTTCCTGTTAGAAGGATGTAACTTCAACTTATTCACGTGGCCAGATCGTGGCTTGGCATTCTGTTCTCAGGGTTGTACTTAATGTTTCGAAATCATGACTAGCGGGGTAAGATCGGCAACATAAAGCCACATTAGAAGCAAAGGATAAAAATCAAACAGATGATAAATGAAAACATGTTTGCATTTGTTATTCATGTATATATGTCTTTGAACTTGCATTTCGTTGTAATAATATTAAATGGGTGTTGGATTTGTATTTCTTTGTTTTAATAGTGAATTCCAACTTATACATTGTTAATAACATAATTTTATATACGTGCCTATCTTGCCCCATTACTGTTGCCCCTATACCAGGGGCAACTTTAATAAAAATAATTAAAATAATTACAACTTTACAAAAAGAGAGAAGTTGCCGATCTTGCCCCGGTCTCACCTATATTAAATATTCATTTTATTCATCATCAGTGAATGTAGGTATCATGATGAATGTGCATTATATACCGTATACAAAATAAACTAGGATTATTTTTACAAATATCTTCATTTTTTTCAATTAAACATTACAATATATTATTTTAGTTAATTATTAATGAAATTATTTATTGTTTTTCTGTATAAATTACACTTTCATCTAAAAGTAATTAGCTGAAATCATTAGTAAATTTACCAAGCAAATATTTAATTTTTTCTCTTATCACACGCGAAAATGAATGAAGTAAAAAATTAGAATGATAATGGAGATTCATTGAATAGCAATTTATTTTTAATTAAGTCGTGGTTCATTCTTTGTAGATCTACATTTTGAATTTGTATTTGGTCTTTGAATTCAACTTAACACAACTTAATCACGTATTAAGAAATCCGGAAATCCGGAAAATTAAAAGCTCCAGATAAATTCTTTTCTTTTATCAGTTCTATTGTGTCTTTCTTGCGAAAATCTATTAATGTTTTTCTATAGGCCTATCCGGGTATTGTCTAAAAACTGTAGCAAATTTTTTGGTCTCTGATTCCTGCGGTAACAATATGATGTTCGACTAAAAGTATTTCATACGAATAAATATTCGAAATTAAATTAATTCAATAATGGAATATTTTACTCACTAAATTCTTAAGTATTAAATTAATATTTATATAAATCTTTTTTTACATTAAATTTAATTAGTACTGTTCGTCTAAATCATTGTTTTTCAAACTTTTTGAATTACCACACTCTTTTACTAAATATATATAAGTCTATATAAGAAATATATGCACTAAAAGCTAAAATAAGTGGTAGTGTAAATATATATATATATTTGTTAAACTCTTCTTCTCCCAAGATTAAATCTGAGTGAGCCATTACTACCACTTTGGGAATCACTGATCTATACTCATACCACTTTATTATAAATATATCTTATCTACAATTTATTATATTAAATTAAAGAATATTTTATACTTTAATACGAAAATTAATAAGTTTTCTACGTTTACTGTATTTAAATATTCAAAGGAATTAAAGAAGGAACACGACGAATTAAGTACGCTTCATTTATATTCGATGAGATTTCATCAACTGGAAATTTTTATAATTTAATAATTTTACATTATATTATTATTAATCAGAAAGTAAAACACAAATCGAATATTAATTTACTGGAAATTCGTTTGGCAAAATCACAGCTGCTGAAATTCGTTAGTTATTAAACTCTATAGAAAATATAATAAAATGAAATAGAAATTCCAATAAAGAAATTAATTCGTCTTTATGTTAAATTCTACTTTCCTGTTTTAGTAACAAGATATTTTTACTAAGATGCGGTAAAAAGGTAAATATCCTTTACTGAAAATAAACTAAATTTTTTCTTTTTTATTATTATTTTTAAAAGAAAACTTCCCGAAAAGAAAGCAGAAATAAGTAAAACAGAATTTATAATTAAAAATTATAGCTTATTTGCGAACGATCTTAATGGCCTTTGACTGTATTAAAAACGCGTTTTGATTAAATAAGTGAATGGCCTTATAAATTAATTTAGGAATAAACAATAGATAGATTTTTTAAAGTTATATTTTCATTTAATTATTTAATTTTTAGATTAAATATAGAATTATTCGTTTTAGTTCTTAATCGAATCAATCGCTTCGATGGATCTAAATTGATTTTTGTTACTTCGGATATCGAATTGCCAGTCTTTTCAACTAATTTAAGCTTAAATACTGGGAATTTTTTTTTTGTTGCGCCTATTAGATTTCTCCCCTCAGATCATTGGGTAAAGTACGACGGACTACCTCTTTCTTTAATTTGCTTCACCATTTGCAACTCAAGGACTGTCTGGTTGATAGTTCCGTTCGATATTTACAGGTAAATTACAGTTAAAAAAGTTTCCTTTCTTTTCTTTCCAATATTATCGAAGATACTTTCACTGGTCGATAATTAAAGCGTGTGTCAACCTTGTATAAAGGTCACGGCTGGGGGAAATGAGTGAATGACTGACATTTCACTCCTCCCGAACCAGAATTTACGGATAGTTTGACTCATAAAGCATACGTGTGACCAATAATGAGAAAGTGGGACGCAGAAAGGTCCATTTGGTTATTCAAATATGGTACCGGGGTGAAGAAGAGCGGTTTAACGAGACTCGAATTGGGTCACTCTTCGACTTTGTCGTATAAAGGATGCTAAGAAAATGTATATTCTGTTACTCGCGCTTCCGGGCTTATAGTGAGGCAATACCGTCTTTGGAATTATAAAACCTGTGATAAATAACATTCTACATCCTGTCGGTGATACAGCACTGAAGAGTAAGTAGTTCTGCTAATGGTTTATCAGAAATTGTACAGACTTAAACGTTAGTTAGGAGAAGCAAAACGTTTTATTCTGTGGACACCGTCTAATGCCGACTAGTTTCATTTGATCAGAAATTTATTTAATATTTTTTACTTTAATTTAATTTTCATTTTTTCCCGGAATTGGGAGATTGTTAAGGTGTTTCTAATTTATTTTTAATCGATTTAACATTAAAAAAAACACGATTCTTTCTTTTGTTTTTGGATTTTAGTTGATTAAATTAATATACCTTAATTTTATTATTGAAATTATTTAAAACTTTTCTTTTTTTTTTAGTTAAAATATCATCGATTAGGAAAACGATATAATTAAATTTCCACACGATGTGGAAATTACATTTTATTTCTATTTTATTACTGGTAAGTACTATTTACAAGCCTATTCTCTTTATTTTATTCTATTGAATACTGCGTACTTATATGCAATCTATATATTTTCATTTAGTCCATGAGCTGGGATATTATTGCTTCTCCACAAAAGAGCTTTGAGCGCGGAAAAAGAACAGGACAGCAATTTCCAACTTCAAATACGGGGCAACCGGGTATAGTTGTCACCAATGGAAAAGCTGGAGTAGCAACGTTTCCGGTACAAACAATAACTTCCGTTGGTGTTGGAAGACCCGGTAAACCACCAGTCGGATTTCCTCAACCAGTCGGCACGGCAATTGATCTTTTACCTTTGCAACCAACGAAAGGTATGGCTCAGATCGTTTCGATTGATGTTCAATGCCAGAAGCAATCGATGAACGTGAGAATCGAATTCGATCAGAATTTTGACGGAACCATATATTCTAAAAATTATTTTAGTGAACTGGGATGCAGATACGTGGCTCCAAACAGTCATCTGAATGTTTACGAATTTACCATAAGTTTAGACAGATGTGGAACAGCATTTATCGATGAATTCGCTCAAGGAGGGCAAGCGTATCTCGAAAATACTATAATCATTCAGAATCATGCTGGTTTTCAAGAAGTATGGGATACTGCTCGGAAGATACGTTGTCTATGGGCAGGACAATTCGACAAAACTGTTTCTTCCGTCGTAAATGTCGACATGTTAGATATCGTCACCATAACTTACAGTGGTGACACAGTCGAAAGTTATATGGACATACAAATCGGTAGAGGACCGTTTTCCACTCCAGTAACTGGTTTAGTGAAGATTGGAGAAACCTTAACTATGGTTATTTACGTACAAGGGGCAGATGATTTTGACATTCACGTTAAGGATTGTATAGCGCACGACGGAGACGTGAGAAATGCCATTCAGTTGACAGATGCCAGAGGTTGTGTGATCAAAAAGAAGTTAATGGGTCCGTGGCAAAAGTCGCGACAAACAGGAAATACGGGCGCAAGTATTATAGCATTCTCGTTTTTCCAAGCTTTTAAATTTCCGGATAAGATGGAAGTTTTCTTAGAATGTAATATAGAAATTTGCAAATTCCAATGCTCGAATTTCTGTCCGGAATATCCAAATGACCCGCGTATTACGTCAGGAAGAAAAAAGCGTGAAGCCAAAAGAAACAATTATCACGAACACAAAGATGGCATTTTGAGAGCTCCAGAGCTGATAGAACCGGTTAGAGTCTTAAGAGGATTTCGTGTCGTTTCTCCCGATGATATCACAATATCTAGAGATGCTAACGCTACTGTGACGTTGACATCTAAGTCTGTCTCTAGAAATAATGGAGACGTGTGTATGTCAACTCCTAGTTTCATCACCGCACTTATTGTCGTATTAGCTATTATAATAATAACCTGCTTGATAACCGCAATGCTATGTATAAGAATGCGAAAGGCTACAGCTAGTCCAGCTTCTAGTATGCTAAGCGGATATAATCATAAGGACATATTATGCAATAAACGCTGAATTCTAGTTGAATCCATCAATTTTATTTCAGAGCCTTATAGAAGCGTTGAGTGCACTTAAAACAAGTGCTTTGATGGCTAAGGAGAAGGAATAAATTGCTATCAGAAATTTGTTTTATTCAAGATGCCAATTTTTAAAGTAATATATATACACACACACATATATATATGTACGCTTGATTATATATGTGTGTGCATATGTGTGTATGAGAGGTGTTTGCATATGATCAAAAGCAAGGAAATATTTTATATAAAATAATATATATATTAGTTATTATTATTATGGCGTAGAGCCTACTGAAGGGTTTAGACTTGCGAGTCAAGATATTAAGTATTTAATCCATTGTCTATTTCCTCATATTTAATCCATTGTCTATTTCCATATCCTCGTCCATATTTCTGAAGAATATTGTATGATAAATTAATAAAAGTATTGTAACTATAAATAAAATACTTATAAATTCATACTCTTTTTTTATTATTTAAAATTAATGTTTATTTAAAAATAAGGAATATAATGATGGGGAGAAAGGAGAGTTGAGAAAGAGAAGAGAAGGTCCCTCAGTTGTTTTGAAGAGTGGAGAAGTTTGTAAAATGACATAATAATTAGAATAACAATTATCAAATTTCAGAATATTTTTACTTTAAAAATGAAATGTTTTAATATATTTTAATATTATTTAATCTTTTTTTATTTAGAAAGATTAATTCTAAAATAATAACCCGCAAGTTGAATTAATAAATACAAACTTTATAAGAGAACTGTAAGTTAATTAGATATAGAAAAATGTATTTAAAAATTAAAGAAAGAATAATAAATTTNATTAGATGTTTTTTTTTTTTTAATTTGCAAACATAATTTAATGAATTATTATTACGTTTGAAGTTAAAGTCGTAGTAAATTTAATAATTACTATTATAAATATAAAATTTCAAAATATATTTTGACGAAATTCGTAATTTTATACAAAAACTGATGTAGACCTACATTCTATTTTCTATCGACCAAAATGAATGGATTTAGGTTAAACTTTGGATACAAAATCCTTGTCTCACACGTAACATAAGCTTATTTTTAGTTGACCTATGACCCGACAAGTACTTCAATTCCTATTTTAATCAGTTTTTGCGGTTATTTCCAGTGTAATTAATTTATAAATAGTTTACAGAACATATTACAATTTACAATAATTTTCACTTAAAACATACATTTATTTGTATAAACATATATTTATTACATTTTAGTATTTCATCCGAATACAAAATAAGAAGATTTGAAAATAGATTAAAAGTATATTTTTAATCTATTATATTAGTAGAATAAACTCTTCTATTTTCTTATTATTTTAATAATAAGAAGAGTTTATTCTACTAATTTATAAGTACTAATACTACTAGTTTATTCTGCAATTTATAAGTCCTTTCTCTTACTAATTAATTCATTTTACAATAAAAATTTCTAAACTCCTATATGTTATTCACTGAATAACGAATATTTTCGATGCATTTTTATTACTCTCATCGACTAGACATATTCAAAATTTCTCTTAACGATAAAAGGTTACACACGTTTGTACTGTGCAATATTAAATTTTGTCCCATATTAATTCCAGTTTAGAAGGACTCTATTTAAAATTAATTCACGTTCGATTTCGAAATTAAAATAAATTTATTAATTCCGCCAGGCATACATAATTACATTGATAGGACGAATTTAACCGAATACTTTACCCTTAATGAACTAATTCGTGCGTAATTAATATATATATAATAAGTATTTTAATTAATATTTGAAAAATAAGAATTATACGTAAATGTTTACAACGTGTTATCAATATGCTAATAGATTTAAATAGAGAAATTTAGGTTATAATGAATTTTAAAAGGTTCAGGAGACATTCGCTGGAAGGCATAAAAGCCCACGTCTTTCTTTATAAATTGCTGTTGAATTCATATCGAAAAGTATTTCGTATCTTTTGAAGAAGTTTTGATGTGAATATTTATTATTATAATTAGACGTTGGAGTAAAAAAAAGAGTAAAAGTGTTTACCTTTTATACATTTGAATGTCATAAGTTATTTGTATGGAATTAATTATTAATTCAAAACAATCACGATTCAAAATTTACCTGATGGAAGAATAATTTGTTTTACTTTTGTATTATTATTAAAATTTATAGAGATATTTAGCGGTGAAAATGCAACAGAATCTGGTATGGTGACATTTAAGAACACACAGAAGATATTTTCGTTAATACCAAAACTCACAGCTGTGGTATTTTTGGCGCTGCGAGCAATAACATAGGCGGCATCAGGCTAGAGCTGTCAGAGTACATAAGTTATATAGTCATTTAACTTAATATCAAGCTTTGAATATTGAGAGAAGATTTGAATATTGAGAAATTAAAAGGAAAAGAAATACTATAGAAGAAAAATTCTTTAGTAAATAGTCCGGATCAATTTTTTGACATTTTAATCCGGTTTCAGTGACTTCACATTTATTGGAAAATTCAGGAAACAAATCAACACATACAAATTCATTAGTTGCATTCATTAGAAACTGCAACAGCAATTAATTCATCGTCTGACTTGCCTGAGTTGCCTCCACAGGCAGAAACTCACCACCGACTTTCCAGTATTCATTACAGATATTAGTTAAGCAGAATGATAAAATCTTAAGCTGTATTGATTTTACAATTACATGTGAAATTCTGAAAGATCGTGGATTATGCTTTTCTATATTGTCAACTAAGAAGATAGAAATCCACGTGAAAATTAACCAAGTTATAATTCGGGACATTTTTTCTAGAGATTCTGTTGATTCCGTACTGTACAGTAGAGTACATATAGCATTAAGTTTTTTTTTTTTTTTGAATTAGTTCAATACATTTACAATTTCTTTGCTGCACCAAGAAAAAGACTGCGTGCTTTTTGAAAAATGTGGAGAATCTCACACTCAAAACACTGTTTAAAACGCACAGTTTAAAACGCAAACGTTGAAATTTCTGACGTAACACTTGATGTTGATTCCTGATACGAAGAAGATGATCTTTAAAAACAAATGTTGAGCTTCACTTTGTCTGTTGAAGTATCAATCTAATATAAAATTCTGTTACATGTTAAAACGGCCAGCAAAACTTTAGTATAGATTGAATATGAAAAGTCCCTTTTATTATCCAAAACAAAAATATATGAACATTTTCCGTAACTTATAGTCATAAGAATTTTGTTACGCTATGTTTTCCATTGCACTAGCGGAATAGCGGTTTTCTCGCTTGAAATTCATAAAGAGAAAAACATGACAGAACTGATAGAAATATGGCAATTGCTAGAAAGTGACATTGAAGAAAGGATTGATTTAAATGAAACTATCAAAACTTTTTCGGTTATAAAAGTTAAAAAAAAGTAAAAATGTATAATTTTAAAGTCATTTACACACAGAAAACGACATATATTTAATGTTTTAAATACTTAAAAATTTATTTTCGGGGAAATGGTTTAGATTAATCTCACGGGGTCTGATTTTATAAACTTGATCTGAGCCAAATTTTGGTTAAAGCCCCCTTAAACAAACATTTAAAAAAAACTCCTCTTTTCTCCTTGTGGGCGTTAAGAGGACCTTTTAGCAAACCCATTCTGGGTTCGTTACCCGTTTGGATTTTATTCCGTATCTCCAGAGCGGTTTGTTTCTATCTTAACCGCTTGGCCATTCGGCCGTCTGAGCAAACGTTTTATTTGTATAAAACAACTCAAGGCCTTACCTTACCTTAGCGACGAAGGGAATATTGCTCAAAAGTTTTACCTTCAGAACGGATGCTTCTCATTCTGAAGATGTAAAACCTGAGAGAGATGAATTGTATGTTCAACGACTGGCCCTTTGTAATGTAAATTAACCCTTAGTAATGCTGCTTATAAGCAGTGTGATACTGTTTTCAAGGCTGGCAAATTTGCAACCTGTTCTTGACAATAACTTTTTAAGTGTCTCTAAAACCAATAAGACCGTAGTGATTATAATCAAAAGCACTAAAAGTGCCATAGTGGTAAGTAATATTCTTTTTACAGAAATTTCTTTCACTGAAATGCCACCATTCCAAATTCGATTGCATTTACATTGATAAATATATCTAGACAGTGTTAAATAAAGATAAATTTTCGATAAGAATTCGTAATTATAATAATTTCTTAACTACAAAAGTCTCTAAAAAGAATTTTAAAAAATCTTTCTAATAAAATGCATCAAAAACTATTCGATTTAATTGCAATTTATACTAATTTCAGACATTTTATTCTATTATCAAACCTTTTTAAATTTATTCTAATTAAAGTAAATTTATTTAATTCTTTAAACATATTTATTCGAACTCCGACACGCATACATTTTTTTAAAATGTTAGATATGTCTGTTTGGCACGCGCGATTCCTCTATAAAAATCTGCCACTCTCGCAGCTGTTTCAATTAAAAATTAAAATATTTAACCGCTAATTTAATACTACAGGAAGTTAATTAACTAACGAGACATTAAAGTGAGAACGTAAAACGAAATGAAAAAAGAAAAAAATCTACTAACATTACTCGTAGTCATTATATTTAAGGATGAAGTATTGTTAAAGGTTTCATTAAAGTCGAACTGTATACTTGTGATAATGTCTCCGGCAAGTAACCTTAACCCATTAGGTTGTGCAACCGGATTCTTTTTAAAAGATCGTTGACTGAAGGTCGACGATCACCCGCATCCACGTAATTTCATCTTAAAAAGTAATAATAATAACGTAAAAGTTTCATTTCTTTCATCATTACATAAAAGATTTCTTGTGTAATAAATAGAATTCGGTTTTTTTTTTCAATGGATAAATTATTATAAAATACTTTTATATATTTAATTTTATATTAATGTTTTCGGATTATTATATTTAAAAAAATTCATATATTTAATATAAAAGAATTTAAAAAAACAGAAAGACAAATTGTACATGGATTAGAATAGAAACGTTGGCTTGTCACATATCGGGCGATCGTAAAGCTCTATTTAACGTTGTCTAGAGAGATACAGTCGACCCCCCTATAACACTGTTGATAATTCCGTTTTATATGAATTCCATGTTGTACGAGTCACTTAGATTTTACACATGTGTGCCGGGCTGTGAACGGCTAAAGT